GCAGTGCATGTCATATATTGGTCTAATCCAGGGGTCGTCAACCTGCGGCTCTCGAACCACATGCGCCTTTTTGGATGTTAAGCTGCGGCTCTTAAGTTCAATGTGCAAATATTATTATTTTTTATCGAAGAAAAAAAAACATTTAAAAATCGTTCTGATTCGATTAACAAGTATTAGGTAACGATTCTATCTCTCTGCCACTTGTACTCACTTTTCTGCGCATCCCGCCCCAAGTCTTGAAATGTAACATATTTGCAGGAGAAGATGAAATATATTTTTATGCGACTTAAAGACACGGCACAAGTTGATTTTTTTTGCCAGGTATATGTCTTCCCAAGGTCCAAAAGAAGAACTTCTAGGATTGCTACCGGTCTCGTGACAATAAGAGGACAAAATACAGCTAATGTCGTGCAAAAATACCTTGAAGACAATATAATCTATAAAATCGTTTCAATAGCAACTGATGGAGCCAGAAGTATGGCTGAAAAAAATTAAGGGGCAACTAAGATTCTTTGAAGCAAAATAAACGGGACGGACGGACGGAAAGACAGACCACACAAAACTAATAGCGCCTTTTCACCTTTCGGGGGCCGCTAAAAATAAAGTTAAAGTAAAAAGGAATGTTAAGTTTCCGATATTGAAGTATTTCCTTGAAATAAGAACTAAGAAATGTAATCCCCTGGCGTCTGGGGCGCACTAGACACCTTTATTAAACTAAATAAATAAATAAGCATTTAAAATTTCTAGTCACATAAAGAAATATGCAGTCGTGGCCAATATTAAAATTCAAGGGACATTTGATGTAAATAGACTGCACGCACGTATGACATTGGCATGATCATCAGATCATCTTCGTGTTAAATTACATGTCTTAACGATGGCCTTTTGTTTTTGTCACACATAAGTTCTTAAAGTAAAGATGTAGACCTTAGACAGTGATGAACATTTTAACCATCCTACCAGAAGATAGTCAAGAAAAAAAAAATTAACGGAGAGATTGGAAGTGTCTTCTCCAACATTTTGAGTCGACATGGCTGCTGGCGCCTCTCTCGAAAAACAGTGTACATTTTAAAAGGACTTTATTAGACAATGGAACAAGGGCTCTGACTTGAAATATTTAAATTTTTGAAACATTGATAATTTCCAAATATTAATTGATAATTACGATGATATAACTTCTGAAAAATAAATTGACCTGCTCCCCACTCTACCGCCCATCTTCAGTACTTAGCGTCCCCTAGAGGGAAGTCACCCTCCTTCAACTAAGGAGGAAGAGTGGGCGCGACAGTTTGAGAAACGCTGTTTTGATTTTAAAGAGAGTTTTAAACTGGTGTGAAATAAATCTTTTTTTTTTTGACAGAGTCCAGTTCAAACCTATGCGACCGCAGTGGGCTCCCACTTTCAAAGGATCCGCACTTTCATAGGACCCGCTCTAATTCAAGGTGTATAAATTATTAAATTAAACCCTTTTATAACTTAAAACAGATTTCCCGCGCCCTCCTGTCGATTTACCAGGAGATCCTGGAAATCTCCCGAAATTGTGTAATCAGGTGAAAGAAGCTTCTCGCGCCTCAAACTAATGAAGAATTATTTGAGGTCAACAATTCTCAAAGATAGATTGAAACATTCGGTAATTCTTGCTATTGAGCGTGATCTATGTAGGAAACAGAACTATTATGATATACTGTATGACCTCGCTACACGCAAGGCTCATAAAGTAATTCTGTAGGTACGTAGTAAAGAATGAATAAAATGCATAGTTATTTTCTAATACAAACTCTTACATTTCACTTATTATCCGTATCAATACCCAAACTTGGCCCCGCGAAATCCGTTTCGAATAGGGCCCCACAATGCATAAGTCCGGCCCTGCTATTTAGTGTTTGTAAAATGTTTGCTTGTAAAATGTTTTAAATGTTTCCGATGTTCCTTCAGAGTTGACGATATATAGTCCAAATCTCTCTCAGGACGAAGGGGGATGGGAGTGGGCAGGGTTTGATAAATCCAAACGACAGTTCAGCGCGCAAACCGCACGACCAGGCAGACATCCGTAGTGACCGGTGAATACTTGTTCTCCCCCTCCCCCTCTTGTTTTTTTGTGGGGTGACTATCCGCAGAAATAAGAGAGTGATTTTTCCTTTACTTCTTCTTCTCTTTGGCGAAGAAGAGAATTATATATATAGATACTGTATGACTTTGCTACACGCAAGGCTCGTAAAGTAGTTCTGTTCGTAGTAAAGAATGAATAAAATGCATAGACGAATTTATTTTCTAATACAAACTCTTAAATTTCACTTATTGTCCGCTTCCCTACCCAAAATCCGTTTCGCATAGGGCCCCTCAATGTTTAAGTCCAGCCCTGCTATTTAGTGACCTGTAAATATATATAGTAGATTACTTGTTCTCTTTCCATGACTTCTTGATCACAATGGTTAAGTCAGGCGCTGCTATTTAGTGTTTGTAAAATCTTTGCTTGTAAAATTTGTTAAATGTTTCGGATGTTCCTTCAGAGTCGACGATAGTTTACTTCCTAGTCCAAATCTCTCTCATGACGAAGGGGGATGGGAGCGGGCAGGGTTTGACAGTCCAGCGCGCAGCCATCTGTATTGACAAGTGAATACCCACTTGTTCTCCCCCCCCCCCCCCCCCTCTTGTTTTTTCGTGAAGTGACTATCCGCAGAAATAAGAGTGTGATCTTTCCTTTACTTCTCGTCCAAATTCTTGAGGGAAGAAGAGCATTATATATAGAGATTATTGGACATAGTATACATATTTAATTGTTTAAATATTTCACTGCTGTGTCGTAAAAATTCTTGATGGACATGTTGATTCATTACAAGCTTCGTGTTTGGACTTATCAACACCGGAAAATGAAGAGCTCTGGACTGTCATAGATTACTAAAAACTACCCAGAATCAGGAAACAAGATGAAGTTTTTTTTTTTTTATTGTTTTTTTTTTCATGGTGATGTATAAATATGTTTTGATTATTATTTATATGGGTTAAGCCTCCAAAAGTAGATCTATTTTATGAATTAATACAGAAAAAAAAAGTTACAACAATTAAAACAGGAATAATAACCACAACAAAATAGTAGCCAACCTGGTGGCTTACTAATAAAAGACTTAAGAATTATAGACTTCATCAAATGAAGATTGTTTAGTGTTCGACCCTGTATAAAGAAATCTTCAGTTTCATCGCTGACTTTTTATAATACTTTGCATGGTTCATATTAAATTAAATATTATTTTTGGCACATCAAAACGGTATATCCTCAGCGCTTGAGTATATCAAAACGGTAGGCCTATATCCTGAGTGGCCTATGTACTGATCGCCTATAGGCAGCACTGAAAAACCTTCTCCCAGATGCCCCTACCCCCACTGGTCCACAAATGAGATTGGACCATAGCGCTCTGAGCATGCTATAAGAATGAAAGTAGCGCTATATAAAGTTATAATTATTATTCACTAAAATTATAATAATAAAGGGACATAATCAACACTTTCTCTTAACAAAATTGTATTTTGTTATCGTTTATAATGTTGTGACAAAATATTTACCACTTCTTCTTTCTCTAACCCTAACCCTATTTACCACAAAACAATATTGATTATTATCGCAACAAGTAATTAAAAAAAACTAATACTAATCACATAATTTTGTAATGAGCATTTATATGAGTCTTTAGTGACTGGAATGATTTTGCTACTTATATATTTCATATAAGAATTTTAAAAAATATAACAACGGAAGTGTATAGGTACTGGAAGACCTCACTCTAATGTGTTCACCAAATTATTTTTTTTTAAAGCTAGAGAAAAAAACAACAAACTTATACATAATTTCATATTGTATAACTCAGAGTGTGGCGCTAAGAATTTAGCCTTGAAAGTAACCAAATAATTATGAATTTACGTGTATTTAGAAATGTTAAATCTTGGTTCTTTGTGATAAACATTACAAACTGATCTCGTTCGGACTGCTCACTTATGCTTCTGTATTTGCGACGATGAATTTATAAATGATGAGCTGCGGCGGAAAGTGTAAATGATCATGAACAATATTTAAAAAAAAAAAAAAAAAGGCAACGAACTGTCCTCATTTGTAACTAAGTAACCCTTGTCCAAGGCGAAGTGAAGTAGATCAGAACGACAGCACCCTCAGAAGTCTATCGAACTGCACAACGAACAACCGCCTTTACTTTTCCCCAATTAATGTCAGGTAGCCTATCCATTTAATTCCATGAAAGCTAGGTGGACTAAAAGATCCCAAAAGTAAAAATCTCAGTCATGTCTATGAAAACATAGAGTTGACGCTATGTGCTGAAACAAATGTGATACATACATATATTAAACATAAATGAATAACAGCACCAGGGACCAAGTTTTTAAGAGAGAAAGTAGCGAATTAAAATGCTACGAAAATAAGGGCATGCCTATGTAATCGGGGTTTTTTATGACTCCCCTGAGTCTACCCATCTCTAATGGGTACCTGACATTAGTTGAGGAAACTTTAGCCGATTAGTGGGCCACAGAAATAGATGATTCTTACATTATCTGCGCCATATATCGCAAGGTCTTAAAGAGGGTACTTTAGCGAGTTTGCCCCCAATCATCTGTACATCTGGAGTAATTTAGCTCTAGACAAAAATTAGCCCATGGTAATTTTGTTGTCATAAAAGAAAAAAATAATAAAATAAGACGCGCGAAGCTGGTGCGTAATTGCTAGTTATGAATCCGTCCAAAAAATATATGGTTAATGTATGGGCGGAACACATGGTAGGGTGGTATGCATCTCGGACTGTCTTCACCATGTCCCGATTAGAAACCTCAGAGAGAGAGAGAGAGGATATCTATTAAAGCTTTTGAAATATTGTAAGAGCCTCCATATGCTTAACATCCTGTCCTAAAAGTAAAGGACAGTAAGAAAGACTAAGTTCAAGGATATATTGCTGAAATATTTTGGCTTCAATATATGTTTTTCAATAACTAAAAGTAGATTTATTTTAGATAATTTTATTTATGCATATATGTAGATGTGCAACAATACACAACATTATTTCAATGCTCACTCTTAGATATAACATATCCGAAATATATAATAATAGCAATTATTTCATGATAATTGTATTTTCTCTACATTCAAATTCTTATTTACATTTGTAACATTTCATGAATACAGTGAGCCTACGTCATAGGTGTCGTCTGTAAGGGGTGAAGAAGTTCATATATCATAGTAATCTAAGCCCATGATATGGATTAAAAGAAATATATAAAAGAAATTTGTTTGTCAACAAATGATACAAATTTAGAAAAGACTGACTTTTTATTTTGATTCATAAAATATCTAAATATGTGGTGCCTATTATGATACGTATCGCAACAAATCACTGTTATACGGTAATATTTAAATTAGCCAACAGTTCAAGAAACAATCTCAGTCCATAAGACTGCTATGCACCAAAGTTAAGTAGTTCATAGGTTCCATAGTCGCACCGTGCTGTAAATTCACTGGTGATCTCCCTTATGCCGGTTAATTTGAAGTAACAAAGCAGTGGTAGTAGGGCCTATTATCTAAGTCGACTCATACTATTCACATTTGAAACAATTAGACCTATAATTGTATTTATAATATCCAACTTCAAGTCTGGCTTTTAAATGCACATTACGGCTGGGTAGTAAATTGTTGACTTCCACGAAAACACAATTTTAGCAACGACAGCGAAAATGTAAAGCAAAATAATTATTTACAAAAATATGATATTCGGAAACACACTGCACAGTGACTGCCAGTGCCCACAGACCTATATATTACGATGCAGTATATATAGGTCAGTGATACTGATCTTAAAATGTTAACAAAGAAGTGAAGCCAAAAGAAAAAGAGCATACATAAAAAAAAGGTAAAAATTTTAAATATATACTAAACTAATACAGCTTTTTTCTTTATAATAAAATGAAACAATTTTATAACAATTTAGTTCTAGTTTCCTTTGTGCTATTTCTTTGTTTCCATTTATAAGGTGTCTTCATATTTTCATTTTTTTTTTTTTTTTTTGCTACCATTATGTTTTCATTTTTGTTAAAGTTTTTTTTACGTTTTCCATATTCGCTACCAGCTACAACTGATGGCTGCATCTTGACACAAGCTCAGTCTCTATGAAAATTGGAACACATGTAGCATTGAAAGTCTAACATTGTGTCAGCCAAGTGGCCCATTAGTCCACTATGAGTTCAAAACTGACTTGACCCATCTTCTCTGTCCGGTCGTGGACGATGTTCCTGGCGTAGGCACGGCACGTGATGAAAAGGATGATGCCCGGCCTCGGGTTGTCGAACCTGACGAAGACCAACGGCGACCTATAACCTTGCTGGTTCCGGAAAGGGAAGTACTTGAAAGGGAAACCTTTCTCCGGAAAGTACAAGAGATCTCCCATGTTTTCTCTCGTGGAATCATCCTGAAATAAAAATCAAAACAATGCGGATGATAAAAAGTGCTTGTTGATTTAGTGGCAGCTAGATTTACATCGATGTTCAAAGAATACTCTATTTAAAAACGAAACAAATGGCACAAGAAAAGGAAGTCGAGTTGAATTTGTGTTTTCACCAGAGTAATGACTTTCGGCTGTGTTGACAAAGAATGACTTCACACGACCTCACTTTGATCAATTGTGTGGGTGTTAAAAAGTGTCTTTAATTGACCATCATGAGGTTGAGAGAATTCTTCCAAACGATAACAGCACAGAACAAAAAAAAATTAAATAGCATTTAAACAAAACAGTAACCAAATAGTAACAACACAACAAGAAAAAAAATACACAAGAAAAAAAAACAGTAACAAATTGTAACATAACAGACAGTAACTAAACATACAGTTACAAAAAAAAAAATAAAAATAAAACAGTGCAAAGCAGTATTAAATCTCCAATAACTCAGTAACACATCAGTAACTATTAAAACAGTAACACTCAAACAAAAAACAGTGACAAAAAATAGAAAACAAAACAAAATAAAATATTAGCGAAACAGAAGAGAAACAAAGCAGTAACCAGTGGCGTAGCTAGGATTGGGGGGGGGGGGGGGGTAGAGAGAATTTGAAGGCCACCAAATGAGTGTCCGAAATTTGTTTGTAAATTCATAAATCAATATATTTGATTGACAAATAGTGTCAACGGGATTCTTTTTTCAACATTTATGGATTAAATTTATAACAAAGACTAAACCTTGATCTAGGTCTATCAGTACGTTGACTTTGTTGACATTTTAAAAATATTTTTTAGAGATCAAAGTTTTTTTTTTAAAGTTAGTTTTAAATTTTAAAACGCAAATCTTTAAAAGATTTGTGGCCGATTTATTTTCCTCTCTAAAGAGATCAAGCATGCGCTTGCAGCAAGAACTAAGAATATTTCTCTCTTTGTTACTAATAGTAGATTTAAATGGCGAGTATTTTAAGGTTACGCTAATTAACTTTGAAGAAAAAATGTACAGAATCAGGTATAACAGATCCAATAGTTATTCTTAATAATGCGAGAATTGTCCATTATTCGGGTTTGGCTTCTATAATTTCAGAATTAAACTTCACACTCGAGTTATTACCCCTCTATTCATATTTTCTCAATGCAATAGACATATTTTTATAAATACCCCCCCCCCCCCCTAAAAAAAAACCCTGTTCTTATAGAGTGATAAAAGAGTGAATTGCAAGGTTGGGAAAATGAATCAAAAAATCTAAATGTATGTCTCTTCGTCAGAGGAAATTTCACAATCATGACATATTTTTTATTTGTGAAATTAAAAAAAATGTTATTCATTCTATGGTAACTTCCCCCATGCCGAGTTGACAAGAGTGGGGCTACAAAACAGCGTGATGCAAAGGTTAAACCTATGATAATGCAGCCACAATGAGGGGCCGTCTGTCTAGTCTGTTGGGCATAAATTCAAAAGCAACATTTCTGAACTATGATTATCACCTTCTCAGCCTGGCAGCTTTTCATTCTGCTGAGATAGATCCAACAATTGTCACCTTTTTTGGAACTGTACATGAATTGTTCAACTTGTTTCCCCACATTAACCCCAGAGATGGGCCAAACTGAAAGAAGATGAAGCTGGGAGTTTAAAAATAAAAGAGTAATACAAGAGAAGAAGCTTCGTCAGCAGTTTCCTTGCATCTCGACAAAATCATCATACTGTTGGAGAAACTTTCTAAATTAAGAACTGAAAGAATGGACACTAGAAGCAGTGCATATAATCTTCTTCATGCAGTGGAAAATTAAGAATTTTTTGCCTAATGGACACCTTTAGGTTTCTTCTTGAATCAAGACACCTGTTGGATGATGACAAACTGTGTTAATACACGAGCACTTTTCATCAACAAACCAGTAATACAATCACAAATAGACATATTGAGGAAGCAGGCTTCCTATAGTAATGATGTGTGCTCAAACCTTGCAAACTCCTCCGAATACAGCTAACTCATGCCATTTCCATTTCGTCATGTGAGAGATTATTCTCAAAGCTGAAATTCATCAAAAACTATCTCAGGAGCACAATGGCGCAAGAAAGGCTTAACAGCGTGGCTTTAATGTCAGTGAAGTCACAAATACTAGAAAGTATCGATGTAGATGATTATAAATGTCTTTGCTGCACAGAATGCACGACATGAAGCGATATAAATAGAGATTGTCACTTGTGCACTATTTAGCCAATAAACAACGGTATTTTTTATTAAAATAGTCTTAATGATTATTTTTGGTTAATTTTACTGATATACTGTACCAATTTGATTTTGGGCTTATATATTTGTGCGTACATTATCTCATGTCATGATTTCCAATATAAAAATGCAAGGGGTCCCCAAATAGGTCAATCCCCCCCCCCGGGCTCCAAATCCCTAGCTACGTCCCTGGCAGTAACGAAAGTGTAACGAAACATAAAAGTAATAACACAAAAATAAAACAAAGCCGAACCGAAACAAAACAGAAGCTAACCTAAGCAGAAGCAATGTCGAACAGAACGGGTTACAAAATACAATCTCTGTCCATAAGACTGCTATGCACCAAGGGGAAGTAGCTCATGGAAATAAAAAAAAATTCTCATTGTAGACCGAAGTTATAAATTCACTGGTGATCTCCCTTGTGCTGGTTAATTTGAAGTAACAAAGCAGTGGTATTATCTGAATCGTATCATACTATTCACATTCAAAACAATTATAGCTGCATTTATAATATCCAACTATTGATAGTTTTAAAAGCATTTTGACAGTATTCAATGACTAATCTCTTCCGCTTATGACACACAATTATTTTGGTTTGTTAAATGTTTGACATGTTTTGGATGTTCCTTCAGAGTTGAGAATAATTTGCTTCCTAGTTCAAACCTCCCGCTGGACGACGGGGATGAGAGTTGGCAGGGTATGAACCTGGACGAGTGATGAGTGAAACAACCGAACGCTAGTCCATCGCGCAAACCGTACGACAAATCAGCCGTCCTGGTCATTTGCGTCCCTCACATTACTATTATTTAAATTATTTTCCAATTTTCATTACATTATTTTCTTACGTTTTCCTTAAGATCCATTATCTCGCTTTCACCTTTCCCCATATCGCTCCCATATTTTATTGCTCCAAGAATGTAAACTTAGACTTAGGTACTCCCGCGCCGTTCGGCGCATTGGGCGGCAAGCTGTCTCCACAAAGCTGTCCATGGCAATGTCTGAAGCCTCCTCCCACCTGATGTCCACTGTTCTGAGGTCCTCCATGAAGTTGTGGCGCCAAGTTATACGAGGACGTCCCTGTTTGCGCTTTCCTCGTATTGGCCTCCATGTCATCGCAACTCTTGGTATGCGTAGTTCATTTTGTCATAGAACATCTCCCGCAAACGCCCTGTCACAACCTCACTAAGTGTTCGACTCAGTTCGGCATAGGATTTCCTTGTTTGAGACCCGATCTGTGTAACTGACTCCCAAAATCCGTCTCAGCCATTTTTGTTGAGCCACATTTAGTCTTTTCTCAATTTTGACAGACGACTTCCATGCCTCACGTGCATAAGTTGCTGTTGGGATGACGAGTGTGTTGAGATGGTGTATTTTTGTCTCGAGTCCAATGGCTTGGCTAGTCCAAATAGGCTGCAGCCTTTGGAAAATGCTTCCTAGTCGGCACACTACATCATGGTATGCATCCCCATCCTTTGTTATGATGCTGCCAAGGTATTTGAACTTGTCCAACTCTTCAAGCTTTGACTCGCCAAGTCTGACGGGGGCACCCTTTGCCTTATATCCCAGTCGCAAAATTTTAGTCTTATCCAAGTTTATGCGGAGGCCAATTTTGTGTGCCTCTCTATCTAAGCTCTCCGTCATTTCTTTTATGCATTTATTTGTAGCCCCGAGTAGTGCAACGTCATCGCAAAGTCCAAGTCCGTCATTCGGTTTTGTTCACGCCATGGAATACCAAATGCAGTCTGGTTTATTGCTCTCCTCATTATGTAGTCGACCTATTTCGATGCTAAAAATCTTGGTTATTTCTTCATCTGTTTTAATGCAGCAACTTGATTGACTGTATAGGTGTCTTAGGATCTGGACGAATTTTTCTGGGATGCCGTATTCTCTAATTATTTCTCCACAGGGATTCTTGGTGGACACTATCAAACGCTTTTTTAAAGATCTGCTCTGCACATAATCTGCCTCTTTGGAAGCCTGCTTGTTCTTCTCTGAGCCTCTCATCTACAGACTGTTGAACCGTCTCAACAAAACAGTGCTGAAAACTTTGCCCGGGACAGAGAGGAGAGTAATGCCCCTCCAGTTTTTGCAGTCTGCCAAGTTTTTTCGGAAGCTTTACAATCACTCCTTTTTGCCAGTCCTCAGGGACTTTGGAAGAATGTAAACCGGACCTTAGAAATCAAAGTGTTATCTTCAGGGTGAACATCTACTAAACCTACGTTTAACTCTTTTTTTTTTACTAACCAAAATATACGTGTCTAGTAAACCTATGTTTAACTCTTTTTCTACCAAACAAAATATACCCATTTGATAAACCGATGTGTAAATCTTTCTACTAAGCAAAAA